GACTCCCCGGGGAGTACACATTTTTAGGGACTCCCCAGGGACTTGGAGGGGGACTCCCTGGGGAGTCCCCGGGGATTATGCATTTTTCGGGGAGTCCCCGGGGACTTTCAGTGGGAGAGTCGACTAGGGATATTCCGGACTTTGATTAAGCATGCAAAGCTTTTACAGTGAACTATCACGCTTAAAATGTATCGAGAGCAATCGTTGAAAAAGAGAAAATCATAACATTGTGTTGATTCATATCAATAGAGAGTCAATTTTCTACGTGCCTTGTCTCACCAAAACGAGAAAATAAAAAGACGCGTTTTAATCCGATTTTTCGTAGAAGCGTTGAAACGACAAACTAGAAAAACGCCTTGCTTTCCGCCCGCTTGTTTTCTCACCGCACTGGAACCATAAGATGAGAGAATGCTTTCCTACGCGTTTCAAGGAAAAACGAAAAGAGACACCATACCTCATTTTCTAGTTTCGAAACGTTCTAGAACGCGAAATTAAACATGGCGTTTCGTCGCGTTCGTGAAGAAAACCGAGGAAAACCGAGTTCTTTTAAAAATGCGTTGAAACCCAAAAATAAAAACTGACGTTTTAGTCCGTTTTCTTCACAAACGCGGCGAAACGCCATGTTTAATTTCGCGTTCTAGAACGTTTTTTTTTAAACATGTCGAAACCAGAAAATGAGATATGGCGTTTTTTCTGTTTAAATAATAATTCTGCGTTTAAAATGATTTTAACTAAATGAAATGAAAATCATTTTGGTTTACTACCTTATTCTGGTGAATCGGAAGGTTCGGTAGCCTGTGATGCTGATCTTAAGCACTGATTCTTAAGCACTGATCTTAAGTACTGATATTAAGTACCACCATCCTGGCTTCCCTAAGCCTATAACGACTCTAGGAAGAGACAACCTTGCACTTGAAGAAACGCGATGAAAGGCGTTTTTATCTCAAATAGAAAATAAATGGTAGTAAACGTTATTTTTTAAAAACGCGTTCGAAGGCGTTTCCTTTCTATCTGAGATAAAAACATTTTTAATGACGTTTTTGCAGCAAACTGAAAAGAAACGCTTTTAAACTGGTTCTTAAACAATACCGTTTACTACCATTTATTTTCTATATGAGATAAAAACGCCTATAATCGCGTTTTTTCAAAAACAAGGAAAAAAGACTTTAACAAAACGAAAAAGCGGAATATCTACAGACTTGCGCTATGTCGTGCGGTGCTTTCATAATTTGATAATTCTTCATTATTGTCGATTGAACTCAGATTTGATCATTAAATGTTTTTGGTAAACATATTTTAAACCGAACTGAATAGACAATACACGGTTTTCTTCAGCACCATTTGAACGAATTTTTTCTCTAATATTAAAGAAAACGACAGTGTTTTTTCTGCGTTCCTAATCGTTTCTAATAAGATCACGTTTAAACACAACCAAAAATCAAACGAAGATCAACGTGTTTTTCTTCGGCAGCGTTTAAATGGATTTTCTGTCTAATATCAAAGAGAACGGCAATGTCTTTTCTGCGTTTCTAATCGTTTTTGACAAAATCAGGTTTTTTTATAAAATAAACGCGTTTTCCACGGTGTTTTTGTAAAAAAATAAAAAGTTCGCGTTTTGTGACGACTTCTAATCTATAGAAATTGACAAAACCTAATTTTTTGAAAAGAAAAGAGAAAATTCGCCATTATAAATGTCCATTTTGTCTAACATAGGTATCCGATTGTATATTTATTTGTTACAAAGAGTTTGTGTGGGACAGTTCTATATGCATCAGTCTTTTTATTCCGAAGATGAATGCTAAATTGAATGTATCAGCTGTCATAGATAGCAATTAAGCATACAGTTCTGACCTTAGGCGTCTCTTGTAACAGTTACAGTTTACCTCAACAGGAAAAAATTTTCAAAAAATTACGGGATAAACAGGACGCGACAAAAAAGCCTATAATTTTTTTCACGGAAAAGACGGATTCGGGACTACATTATTTGGTCACGAGCTCGGGCTTACGTGATGGAACAACAGAAAAGGTTGTCCCACAGGACTCTACTGTTAAGAAGCTACTGTTAAGAAGTCATTTTAGTACAAGTTTTCTGATCGATGTTGACATTCTTCCCTGTTCCAATCCCGTTACAACTAGTGTTAATGTTGAACCTAAATTGATAGAGAAATTAGAAACATTCGATGGTGTGATAGATTATATGCGCATTTAAACTATGAATTTACTCATTTGCCATCCTATGAGTATAAGACTCTGTAAAAATACCAAGCATTTTTGTTAATGAAATAAAATAAAATGAGTAGGGGAGAAAGAGAGAACAGGAATATTGATGTGCACTTTGTCGTATATAATCTAAACTGCAATATAATTCTTACTTAAATTTTTTATTTTAAGATGCATAACATAGCATGTTTATATAAGTTAATCTCTAGAGATATTTTTCATTGTCTCGCTAGTGTTTGACATCGTGGAACTGATGTATCTTTTTGAACTAATTTTTAAAATTTGTTTTTATTGTCTATGATGAGCACATACGTAATATAATATGAGCGGTTATATTTTGACCTGTTCCCATGACAAGATCAGTTAAAAATAGTAATTTTTGTTTTATATAAAAATGTTATGGTCACACTGTTACGTTAGAAAGTAAATTTTACCACTGTTTCACAAATCACGCTGTTACGTTTTTTCGATCACTTTGTCTATGTGTATATTATTGGCCAATCTGTACATATAAAGATGATAGATTGAACTCTCATCTGTATCTATGATGCATAAAATATGGTTGATATGATCAAATGAGAGGAAAGGAAGAGAAAACGAAGTTTAAAATCATCACTATTGACCATTGTCATTTTTGATAGGCAACAACAGCAACCTATTGTGTTTGAAAATATATACAGTATAAAACACACACACGGACACATAATGTAAGTTTAATATTTTCTACTTTATAAACATAAACAAATCTTTCAACAGTATAACAGATGTTCTCATGATAAAGCTAATGTTGATTTATCGACGGATTGCGTAGTTTAAACCGAGAAAATGTTAATTTAATATCTTAGGATACAAATCCTCATCTTGCAGATGAACATGTGTGATTTTTTCATTTAATCTAGAAAAAAAGAATTTATACACAAAAACAAGATAGTGACAAGATTTTTAATATGGTATGTCTACTGATACCTTTAATGATGGTAGCAAGAAGCTACTTTAATCACACTTATTTTTTTACTGCTTTGCTCAGTGTCAATAACCTCTTGTTGGCATCTTTGGGGATGACCTTAATTATTCCGGTTTTTAGAAACATATATATGCTATACGAAGAAAAATCGCTATTTATTTAAAAAAAATAAACAAAAACTGACCATGAAAATGGTTAGCCATAAGGACTGGGTATATTAATCAATACATAAGTACGTTATAAGACAAAGAGAAAATAACTTAATTGTATGTATTTTTAAAAAGAACCAACATTGAGTTCAACGAAAAGTAAAGAAAAATGGTTATTTTTTAGATGAGTATAGATGATAAATATGCATAAGACCTTTTAGGACTGACAGAGAAATAACTATCATTAGTTTTTATGCGGTTTAAAACCTATGATAAATCTATTATAATCTAATTATGATCACAATCTAAATTCACTTGACATCTACTGTATTTTGGTGAATATGACTATTTTTTATAAAATTTGTGTATGCTGAACTTCAGCTGTTCTTACATCAGTCAAAGTAGAAGAGTTATGATAAAAATATTTTTCAATATTTTTCTAGAAATCTTAGACGATTGTGATGGTTGTACGTACAATTGGAATTGGTCGTATATTTTTACCTTTTGTCTTAGTTACCTATTTGTTAGCATTAACACTAAATATCATTTCATTTTCTGCACCTGATTGGTTGGTCTATACCGATGTATCGATTAAAATTGGTCTGTGGAGAATATGTGACACATCAAAGATTGGTTATGATAAATGTGCTGATTGGAATGATCGAACATATCCAACTAATTTAGCAAATACTGTTTTTATTGGACCACCAGGTAGGCATGGCACTTAACTTTATTCGATTAAAATCAATTACCTCACATATTTAGATTATGTTAAAAGTTCTCAAGGCTTAGAAATTATTTCATTCCTATTTTACATAATCACCGGTATGCTATTATTGTTCGCTATTCTCAAATTTTCCATACCATTATTATTCTTTATTGGAGCTATAATGTTGTTAATATCAGGTAATTGATGATTAGATTTTATCTATTTTAAAAATCAGGATCTTGAATACGTAATTTGACGTATTAATTACAATTTGGTTTTTCTTTAGTTATATTTCTGTCAGCGACACTTGGCATAATGTGTAATCAAGGTCGTGCTCGTCATGGTGGTTATTTACATTTCGCATGGTGGATCGGTTTGGTCGGAATGATTTTTACTCTGTTGTGCGGTTTATCCCTTCTAGTATTATCGTTTTATATCCAACCTATTTTACAACAGTAAGCTGTTTAGAAAAAAACCCATTTCGTTCAAATTATTCGTTATCACTCTTTTAGGCTACCGTTTGATAAAATGACTGAGGCTGCATCAAATAATGAGATAGTAAATAATGGTATAAGTCATCAGGTTAATCAGTTAAACCCACCACCTTACCAACCACAACAACAACAATCGTCATCTTTCTCTTACAATCATTTACCTGATACATTGAGTTACGGTCTCATGAACAATACCAATGCAAATTCGTATCCAATGCTTCAACACCAGCAACCTCAACAACCTCAGCAACAACAACAATATCTGGACGACCAACAACCATCAACAAACCCTAATTACGTTTTTTCATCCTACACTCAACCCCCGCCATCTGTTTTAACAAAATTGGCAAGAGAATATGTGAGAAATCAAATGTTTAATCCTCAACAGCAACCAGCACCGGTACTCGGAGAATCAGTATTGGAAAATATTCCGCAATATATTGACTTGCAACCGCAACATACTAATCAACCACAAGGATATATTTAAAAAGTACTTTAAATAAAGCTGACTTACTTTTGAATAACAATCGTCTTATATAGGTGTTAACCTATGTATTTTTGCATGGTAACTTATTAGCTATTGTAACTTGTGAAAGACATAACGCTGATAATCGGCCCATTTCAATTGTTGTCTAAAAACGGTTCTGTGAGTGGTACAAACGTATTTTTATTCGATTTTAAGTAATTTTGCATAGTTGTGATATATAAAGTGTGAGTAGTTTTCCTCGTCAATAGAGCGCCAATAGTTCATCTTTCAGAGATCAGCTATAGATTAGATAAAAGGTATTTTTCTCATGTTCCTTTCACCTAAATGACAAAGTAAATATATCATTGAATAGCCCTAAAATTCTCTACACAATGTGTGTGACATAACAGTTAAGTTTTGTTATAAAAGAGTTTCAAAAAACCTGACTTTCACTATAATAAACTCAAACATCTTGCAAGTAGAAAATTTTTCAGATATGTAGAATAAAACTTGAAACGTTTCTCTATCAAGCAAACAAACAACGTTGAAGTTTGATCAAGAAATTAAGAGTTATATAAATTTTTTAATCGGTAGTGACTTTGGGGACACCTCGCATATTTGGCTCAAAACCCAATCAAACTGCTTGGGACTTTTAGAACATGTTCAGATGAGTAGATTGAATACTTAGAACATCAAAACAACTCAAAACTAATACATTGTCTTACAATGGATTTCTGAAAAATCTCTGAAAATTCCACTAATAAGAAAATAGACACTTTTACCTTTCTGACTCTGTCAATATGGACATCAAGCAAAAGAGAGTATTTCTTGAGAGTTTCAGGTGGTTTGGTTGAAATTCCTTGATCTTTAAAGTGGTTTATGACACAAAATGTAGATATTTCTTTACTAATGTAAGAAATAGTAAAAACAGAAAGTATGTCACATTCCCGTAGTCGATTTACTTCAGATTCATTTTCTAGGGACTAACCCAAACGACCTTGAAATTGTTGTGTGTAACCACATTGTGTAGAGAATTTTAGGGCTATTCAATGATATATTTACTTTGTCATCTAGGTGAAAGAAACATGAGAAAAACACCTTTTATCTAATCTATAGCTGATCTCTGAAAGATGAACTATTGGCGTTCTATTGACGAGGAAAACTACTCACACTTTATATATCACAACTATGCAAAATTACTTAAAATCGAATAAAAATACTTTTGTACCACTCACAGAACCGTTTTTAGACAACAATTGAAATGGGCCGATTATCAGCGTTATGCGGCCCTTCTTTTGTGAGTATATGTTCAAAATACTCTAAAGCGTCCTTTTTACTTCATAAATCCCTAGATTTTTACTTATATTCCAGTAAGGACTTTAAGTAATTTTTCCTTAGCTCAGTCGACTGTTTTCTTATTATTAACATCTAAATTTAACAAAAACAGATCATATTTTGCTGAAAAATGATGATAATCACTATGATCGTTGCAAAATTCAGACTCAACATCACCACTACTACTTAATCTGTTATGCGTAACATATTTTTAAATTATGTTACGAGATGGAATGTTCTAACTTGTATTTCATGATTCAGCATTGAAAATAAAATTAGAAAATGGTCTTAGAACATTTTTAGAACAAAACATCGATTCACAAAAAATTACGCAGTGTTCATGGCTCGAAAACGAAACGCAATTTTGCAAGCCTATCGCAGGTTTTTCTAGAGGTGCTATTTTAGTGGCAGCTAGAGTCACTATTTTTTACATGGTTAGATCCGCTGGATGCTCAGCTTCAAAACTATACGGACAGTTCTTTAAAATTCCTTTTGGTTACTGAGAAAAATCATTTTTTCTAAATACAAGGCGAAAAAGTCGAAATTCTGCCCGTAATTCCCAATTTTCTCGATCAGAACTCAACTTTTGAGCAATAAAAATGTCATATTCGGAATCAGGATCAAAACTGAATCGACTGATATGCATTTCGAAACTTTTAGTTGATATTCAGTTTTGGGTGAAAATCTCGGTAATTTTTCAATGAAGGTGAAAATTCGAAAAACATTAAGGTAGTCGGATAGGATAGACATACACATCAGCCAGACCTGTTCTAATTCAGTTTTCAATGCTGTATCATGAAATACAAGTTAGAACACTCCATCTCGTAATATAATTTCAAAAAACGAATTTCAAAAAGACCCGAAAATTTGGGTTTTTGACCTCTTTCGATCGGAAACAAGTGTCAAAAAATTCGAGGAACATATATTCGTGATCAGCGCTATCTCCTCTATCGAATGGTGTATAAAAAAGTCGAAAATAAGTTTCACTGCAAGTTTGCTTTTTGTGCATCTTATATATACACATCATGTGTGTATATACATACACAGAAAAACATAAAAGCATAAAAGTCTAGCATAACGAGAAAAAAAATTAAATATAGGAGAAAATGTCAGACTAGAGCCAAGAATGAATGACGAATTTTTACCATAATAACTGGTCGTGGACGTTAACGATGAATGACAGGTTGTTTACAAATCCCCTACGCTAAATATAATAGTATCTTTGTTAAAACTTCCTGCCAGAAGTCTATTTCGGTAACTATAAGTTATATCTGGACCAGATGTTCGAGGAATGTTGACCATGTCAAAGTATCATGATGAAATTACCTTTTTGACTTCATCTATCTTCGTTCATGAGACGTCGCTCAATCAAGAGACACAATGAGGCAGTTAAGGTTTCTCAAATGCTCACTCACTCTAAGTACTACTAACGAGGGAACCTCTCGAGGTGATAAAACGCTTTTTGATCGAAATCTAGTGGGTTATAGGTTATCGATCAGGCTGATTCCGAATATGATTATAGGAGCTGCCCTTAACCGTGCGAAGATCCGGTTTTCTGGAAAACCAGTCTTTCTGAAACTCTAAAAAATAACCAAAATCTTTCTTAATGAGACACGATTGTAGTTCACAAATTTTTGATTAAAATGAGACCTCTTCCAGCTCTACCCGACCTTTCTTTGCAAAGTTATAGAATTTATAAGAAAAGCCCTAAATGTTGATTGTCGGCTCAAAGCTATAGTTTAGGGCTTTTCTTGTAAATCCTATAACTTTGCAAAGAAAGATCGGGTAGAGCTGGGAGAGGTCTCATTTTAATCAGAAATTTGCGGACTACAATCGTGCCTCATTAAGAATGGTTCTGGTTATTTTTTAGAGTTTCGAAAAGACTGGTTTTCCAGAAAAACGGATCTTCGAACGGTTAAGGGCAGCTCGTATAATCATATTCGGAATCAGCCTGATCGATAACCTATAACCCACTAGATTTCGATCAAAAAGCGTTTTATCACCTCGAGAGGTTCCCTCGTAAGCTCACGAGGGTTTTGTTTCATCGAAAAATACTATAGTAGTACAGTGTTAGTTTTTTCATGTTATTGATTGACGTGAAACATAACTCACAGAAACCCCTTCTAGACTTTTCAGAACATGGTCTCGTACCAAAACTCAATTACAAGATCTATTAGGATAAATACTCAGAAAAAGTTTGCTAAGTTAAAGGGCAGTTAGTTTGGATGACTATTCCAGAGATCCTTGGTTAACTTTCGAAACAACACTCAAAAATGAATCTCTTCGCTGTCAAAATGACAATATTTTGCTAGAATATAGGACCATCCTGTAGATAAAACATCCCATTCTAGAATCCAAGACCACCTAAACTAGTTTTGCTCACTACTATCTCACAATCGAAGTCTAATTTCACGGAGCGGGACCTCAATAGTCTTACTTGACCGAGGTTTGAGAAAGTGAAATGAGTGAGTTTACCAAGCAAACTCTGTGCCTCGACACATGAATCCCCGAACATTAAATTAAGAATGAGTTATTAATTAGGCGCCGAGCAGAAATTGTTCATTGGCGTGACTTATATCTCTCAAAAACTTATTGAAATCAAGGTTGAAATTTTTCTATGAAGAAATTCTAGTTTTTTATTTATCAAGAGAAAAATACTCTTTTAATGTCATAGATAGATGTAACACTGATTATCTTTTTTGTTTAATGTAGTAAGTAACACCTAAAAACAAAGTGAGAAAAACGTTTGCTTTATACTGATCAGAAAAAAATGGCATATTCTGTGCTGCAAAAAAAAAGTAATTCTGTTTAATATCTTTTTCTCCGCTCTCGTCAGCGGCTCGTTTTTCTCAGTCTTTGACTGCCACATATCTCTGCATACAATAACCAATGTATTCGATATTTGCTTTGCATCATTATAAAGATGTATAATATAAAATTTTCTCATACATTTTGTTTATAAGATCCACGGTCTACAGTAGTAAAGTAGCGGACACGCTCAACGACAACAATGCATGGAAATAACAGCAATATACAACTAAATTTAATTTATTCTAGTGTAGAAATCCGTGACTAAAACAAAAAGAAGATAGAATGTACTTCCTGGATGTCCAAACGCCGTTTTATATGAGAGAAATAATAAATAGAAAGTTGTCAGATTCAAACAGTATTTTATATGAGCGAGCAAAGAAAGTAAAAACTAAAAGTGTGTGAAGAATCATAAAATTCTTCACTTTCATTACGTTTTCATCTTCGTTTATCTCAAAATAGTTAATATAGAAGATAGAATCAAAAAAAATTATACAAAATAAAACTGTTCAGACACGCACGCATTTACAGAATTTTTTTTCTTTTTTTATTCTATGTAATTAGAATGTAAAAATAGAGCAGAATGGACTAAAATCATTAAATTACTGTTATAAGTATGTCAGTTATTAAGCATGTCTAATAATGACAAAACAAGAACCATGGATACAGAATTTATTAGTAGAACAACTTGTAGCCTTTTTTTTCAAAAAAAAGTTAAAGACTAATGATAAGTATTGTCTTAATTAAACTTTGGCAGTTTTTGTGACAAATTAAGCTTTTCTTTCTCCGATATCGTTACTAAATCAAATGAACGCTTTCAGTACTACCAAAAAAAATAAGTTTAGAAAATAAACACTTTCATTTTCCAAAAGACATCA